GCTTGGAGCCACTGAATGTGTCCTTCTTGTTGTCATGGCCCTTGATCGCTATGTAGCAGTGTGTCATCCACTGCAATATACAACTATCATGCACAACAAAGTCTGTGTGCAGCTGGCCATCCTGGCTTGGAGCACTGGCTTGCTTCAGTCTCTGATCCAGGCTCCTGCCACCCTCCGGCTACCATTTTGTTCTTCTCGGATGATTGATAGCCTGCTGTGTGAGGTCCCAACCTTGATTCAACTCTCTAGTATAGACACAACTTACAATGAAATACAATTGTCTGTTGCTAGTTTTATCCTCTTAGTGGTGCCCTTGATTATTATCCTTGCTTCTTATGGTGCTATTGCAAAGGCAGTGCTGAGGATAAAGTCAGCTGCTGGACAGAAGAAAGCCTTTGGCACCTGCACTTCTCACCTGCTGGTGGTCTCCCTCTTCTATGGCACGGTCACAGGGGTCTACCTTCAACCCCAAAATCCATATGCACATGAACGGGGCAAGTTTCTCACCCTTTTCTACACTGTGGTGACTCCAACTCTTAACCCTCTCATCTACACTCTGAGAAACAAGGAGGTAAAGGGGGCATTAATGAGATTAGGGAGGAAGACCCGGGATTCCCCACATTCCAGTGAAGATTCGTGTATGTCTATCTGTTGTTGAGCTAAAAAATAAAGAACTGTAATATCACAAAACCTGGGAAATATGCATCTTGCCATTAGCAAAGATTTAGGTGTGATTTCAGGTTTGTCTTTCAATCATGGATTGGAATCTAATATCTTCATGATGCTCTTTAAGCACCATGTGTCATAGAAATTACTATATTGTGGTGTCATTATCCTTGAGTTAGTAGAAAAAAACATAATTACAAAATAAAATATCAAGTCTTAAGTATCAAGTCTGCCTTTTATTTAGTATTTTTCCCATTTGTTTGTTTTTACAAGTTGGAGTAGTTCATTCATTCAAAAGTCTAGCCCCCACAAATTTTCTAGTTTGGAGTCAGAGGTATTGAATAAACTCACATGGCCTTCACTACTTAAGCCTTATGATTCTCTGATGAGTATGGATTGTTAGCAATACCCAGTGAAAAAGTCTTGACCAAGCTGGCCACATTCACTCTTCCTTTGTGCTACAACACTAATACAACCTGTGCCCTTGTGTCTTAGTATTATGCTTGATATACTTGCTTTTCAGTTATAGGATTAGAGTTCTGCTTTTCTCCCTTCTAAGTTATTAATTTAATGAAATGTTTGTCTTTTAACAGGTTTTACTCATTCTCTCAACTTACAGATTTTCCCTCATTTCTTATTGTCAATCGGTTACATATTAGATACTAGTGGTAGGATGGCAGATCAAGGTTACAAAATCACCGACGTCAGGGAGAGAGTTATCCAATGGTAGAGACAGATATTAATCATAATGCTTTGTATTTATTATCATAGCAGGAAAGAATGCTTCTTCAATTCTTGCACAAGGTTCATTACTGTATCAGTTGATGTTGGGGAGAGGCACAGTACTAGGGTTTGTACTTAGAACCTCACCTTTGCTAAGCAAACATGGGACCTATGTTTCTTTGGGAAACAATGTGATTGGCAAGGGAAAAGGGAGGGAAGAGGGGAAGGGAGAACAATGGAAGGGGTGAATCTGGTCAAGATGAATTGTATTTGTAAATGAACATGTAAAATAGTAGCCCCCTTGTACACCATTTGTGGATTAAAAATTTAAATTATAATGAAATTGCTGTTGTTCTTAATGTATTACATGATTTCCTTTTTCTTTTGTGTTTCCCCCCAATGGTTTATCCCCTCTTGTCACTGTATTTGATTTTGGTACCCTTGAGTATTGTATATATGTTTATCTGAATTAGGGGAGGGAAGGGGAACAACAAAATTGTGAGACAAGGGACAAAGGGGGAGCCTATATCACAGCGATACTCACAAGACAATATGTTGGAAATGATCTGTATAACTGCAGGGGGGGGGGTAATTGGTGGTGGGAAAGAGGGAGAAAGATGAGGGTGAGGTTAACAAGTTAGACAAGAAATGTACTCACTCCTTACTTATCTAACTGTAACCCCTCTGTACATCACCTTGGCAATAATTTTTTTTAATTTTTAAAAAAGATTCCAATTTATAATTCTAGTAAATTCAATTTTTTTCTTGCTTGTAGAATATGCTGCCAGGTTGTGGTAAATATGGATAATTAAATAGTTTATAATTCCTAGGGGAAAATGGCCCTATCAACTTAAAAATTCCATAATGTTTCTTTTATGTTGTTTTTTCCTTTCTAGGTAAAATACTTTTGTATCTTCAGATTATTTAAAGTTATAGTGAAACAAATAAAATTTATCTCTAACATTGTTACTCTTTAGTGACTATAAATATTGAGATACATTTTGCTCCATAACCTTTATATGTCATTATTGATAGGTACAACTGTACAGAGACTAGCCATGCTAGATATCACTGTCTGACTCTTTCCTTTTCAGAGTCCTCTGCTAACATAAAAAAAAAAGCCTGGGTGTTCATGCATCTTTTTTAACTCAGTAACTCTCACATTTAAGTCTTGGACTTCCTACCAAGTGTATACAGTCATAAGCTGAGGTAAAATGACCCAAAAATATGTTGAAAATAAATAGTTTGAGCATCGCTCTCCTAAATTGATAGTTGTCTCACTTATTTATGCTATTCTTTTTCTTTAAACTTCCAAAACATCTAACAAAAACAACCAAGATGGCTGCTTGTGGCTCATGCATCTAATCCTTGCTATTCAGGAGGCCGAGATCTGAGAATCGCTGTTCGAAACCAGCCCAAGCAGAAGTCTGTGAGATTCTGATCTCTGAATAGCTACTCAGAAAAAGCCAGACGTGACACTGTGGTTCAAGTGGTGGAGTGGCTCAGGGACAGCACTCAAGCCCTGAGTTCAAGCCCCAGGAACAGCAAAAAAAAAAAGAAAGAAAGAAAAAAGAAAGAAAGAAAAAGAAAGACAGAAAAATAAAGAAAAAGAAAAAGACAATCATTTCCTGACCCTTAGCTCATACCATTAAAGGATTAGATGTTCCAGACAACCAAGTGCTTCTCCTTACATTTATCCTTTCTTGTATCAAAAGCCACAAGATACAAGTGAGAATAACAATTATGCTGAAATATGCTGAGGATAGCCAATATTCCTCAACAGGGGAGGACGTGTTACAATGTAACTAATACATAATACATTTCCTGAATATTCTTTTTTTTTTGTTGTTGGTTGTGGGACCTGAACACTGGGCCTGAGCCTGTCCCTCAGCTCTTCAGCTGTAGACTAGTGCTCTACCACTTGAGCCTCAGCCACACTTCTGGCTTTTTTTTCTGCTTATGTGGTGCTGAAGAATCAAACCAAGGGCCTCATGCATGCAAGGTAAGCACTCTACCACTGAGCCACCTTCCCAGCCCTCTGAATATCTTTTTAGGGTCTTATTTCAAGATCTGCGGTCAGAGATAAGGATCTTAAGTTAAGTACTTTTGAAAGCATTTGGATAAGAACGGTGCAAATTGCCAATTACAGGAATACTACATGAGGAAAAAGAAAAAAGAGAGAGAAGAAAGAAAACTGTAATATCCTTTTGAAGGAAAGATCCCTTAATTAGTATGTAATGGCCTTCTTTGTCTCTTCTTGCTAATTTTAATTTGAAGTCTATTTTAGCTGATTGAAACTGTACGGTCCCTTGGCACAAGACAAAATTTTTTAAATAAGAACCCAGAAACATAACAAGTCAAAGAAAGTTTGGACAAATGGGATTGTAGAGCTTCTTCATGGCAAAGGACATAGCTAACAAGATCAATAAAAAGATCACGGATTGGGAGAAGATTTTCACTTGGGACTCATATCTAAAATATACTTAGAACTAAAAAAATTAAATTCCCTAACAACAAATCCTCAAGGAAACAACTGTGCAATGAATAAGTGGGCTAGACTTAAAGAGAAACTTTTCTGAAGAGGATATATGAATAGCCAATAGATACCTGAAGAAATGCTCAACCTCTCTAGACATAAAAGAAATGCAAATCAAAACAACATTGAGATACTACCTCATCCCTGTTAGAATGGCTATAATCAAGAATTCTAATAACAGCAGATGCTGGAGGGGATATACACACACAATGGAATTCTATGCCTCCATTTGTTAGGAAATGGAAAGACTTGGAAAAAATTTATGTGAAGTGAAGTAAGCCAGACCCAAAGAAACATAGGTCCCATGGTTTCCCTTTTCTGCAATAACTAGTATATGTCTAGGACAAGCAGAAGAGGTCAAAAGTTATGCACATATGACCATATAACCAGATGCTAAGCAAAATGAACCCCGAGATTGGGACACAAGAGATTTTATCTTTCTTGTTGTTCTTTTTAATGTACTTATAATGTACTATGTGATTTTTTTGTTTCTTTGTATGTTCTTCCCCCATGGTACAACCCCTGTTGTCACTGTATTTGATTCCAGGTCCTGCATCTTGTATATACATTTTCCTAATTTGGGAAGGGGAAGGGAAATGACAAAATGCTGAAATAAGAATACGGGATGACGAATTGTAACAATGAAATGTACAAGACACTTTTTTATTGTGAAAATACTATACAGAGGGGTTACAATTACATGGGCAAGAAAATGAGTACATTTCTAATCAAGAATTGTAGCTTCCTCCTTTGTTTCTCCTTCTCATCCCTTCCCATCTCTTCCTGCCCCCCCCATCCAGTACTCCCTACCCCACCAAAGTTGTAAAGTACAATTTTCAACATAATGACTTGTACATCTCATTGTTACAATGGGTCCACCTGTATCCCTATTTAAACGATTTGTTTTTTTCCCTTCCCCCCACAAATTATACCAACATCAAATACCGTTAAAACGGGACATAAAAAGCAACAAAGAAATCATCTTATAAATATGTTAGAAACAATTGCATGAAAGAAAAAACGTTTGAATGCATATCTTAAGGTTCATTTCCCTAACATCAATTTATCTGACCTTTTCTGCTTGACTCAGACATATACTAGTTATTGCAAATAAGGGAAACCATGGGACCTATGTTTTTTTTACGTCTGGCTTACTTCACTTCATATAATTTTTTCAAAGTCTTTCCATTTCCTAACAAATGGAGTAGTGTCATTTCTTTCTGATGGAGGCATAGAATTCCATTGTGTATATATACCACATTTTCTTGATCCATTCATCTACTGAAGGGCAGCTGGGTTAGTTCCATATCTTAGCTATGGTAAATAATGCTGCAATAAACATAGTCATGCTGATAGCTTTAGTGTGGTCTTGTTTGTGATCGTGGGGGTAAATTCCCAAAAGTGGGATTGCTGGGTCAAAGGGGAGCTCTATGTGGAGTCTTTTGAGGAAACTCCATACTACTTTCCAAAGTGGTTGAACAAGTTTACACTCCCACCAACAATGCAGTAAGGTT